GGCTATGTAAGTGATACAAAGTTGATCAAGTTAGGATTCCTCCTCTTGAGAACTTCATATCTTACTGGTGAAAACAGAAGATGTAGAGACAAATGTAAGAAGTTTTGAGGACAGAGAAGAAGGAGCAGGCCATTCTGCTTCAGAAAGTTGGACAGCAGGGCAGCCTTCATATAGGAATTGGCAGTTGGATTTAATCTTGAGGAATAAGGCAAAGGGCATCTAGAAGTAAGGAAAGAAAATTCTAGAGGCATCTATGATTATTCTAGCTTTCGATGATCTCTCATTGAAATTGAAAAATTTTCCTCTGGAAAATGTTATTTGCTACAATTATATATATGTAATTCTAAATCTTAGGGTACGAGACACGCATATTACCATCAAGGAGCTATAGTTTATTTGGGGGTAAAGAACAAACTCATGTGAAGATGAAATATATTAGGGGTCAAATATAACACTATATGAAGGGTCAGATTCAACAAAAGATGATCTGTGTTAAGGGTCACACATATCAATGTGAATTAGGGCCATGAACTCACTCCTACAACCCCACGTACAGATCCATCCCATAGTTGAGAATATCTTATAGAGTCACAGTTCTATTGACTAATGTTTCACAAGTGCTAAATTTGACTATCCTAAGCCATTTATTTGCAGACAGGAGCCATGGCTTTTGCCTTCTCTGTTTCAACACAGTGCTAAACATTCGGAACATAGGTAATACACCCACAATCACTGATTAATCAAAAAGAAGACCCACCGAGACAGCCCTGTCTAAATGACACTTCTTTTACTATACCCCCAGGTAGCAAGAATTTTTTTGTTGAATTGTGACCAAGTGTTTGTTTGTTTCTCCCTATTTAAATAACTAAGAGTGTACAATCCAGGAAGCTCGTTTCATTTCCAAATTCTCCCATACATCCTGTGGTAAACTGTTTCTGAATGACAATTCTGGGAACATTCTTGTGGAACTCTAAAAAAGTCAACATATTTTAAAAGAATTCTGAATTCAATATAGGATGTTTTGTTTAATTTTCACAACTCCTTTTCTGCAAAAATATTTGCTGAAATACTTAGAAAACATAGTAATCCATTGTCTATATGATTTTTCCTGATATTTGAAGAGCTTTACAATCACTGGGAGAAAGCAAAACAGAAATGTTTAAGTTAAACAAGGTAAAACTCTTATTGTTCTGAGACAGCTCTGTGGAATCTTAGTGCCCCATGGAATACAGCTTGAATAACAATGATCCCACCTAAGCTTTCTATATTACAGATGAGACATCTGGGCAAGGTGCAGAGGGGAATAAGAAAATGAACACCTGTTGCCCCTGATCTCAAAGAGCTTATGGGTTATGCTTTCTTTTGACATAATTATAGAATCAGAAGACTATCATCTGTTAGGAAAATAGACACATCTGTAATAAAAAGCAGTGTTTTGTCATGGCGGTAATCTTTTTCAGTTGTATGTTGCCCTTAACTACTACTTAGAAACCAGTTGTTGCTTAATAAATGCCATCTAATATATCTATTCCAACTTGTGTCAAAGATGCCTGGCTTTCTTCCTTGCCGATGCCTTTACATATATAAATATCAGTCAATATACGTGGTTCTCGTCAAAGTGGGATCATCTAAAATATCTGAAAATAAGTTCATTTACAGTTCCAGGCTTCACTTAGAACACCTGGATTTGGGTCTGGGCTGCACCACTCCTGGAGGTGAAAGCTTCAGCAAAGCACTTAAAGATTTGGAGACTCGTTCCTAACTTATGAAGAAGAGAAATAGCAGCTGTTTACTAAGACCCAGAATTGCCAAGATGGTAAAATTAGAAGGTATGTGAGAGTAATCTGTAAATATTAAAGGATACAAGAATATTGTTTGTAAATTTCAAAAATTCATTCATTTAAAAAATTTTAGGGTGCGTATTAAGCTATATATTTCCTCTCTGTTGACATTTTCTTACCCACTCGTGTGTAAGTTAATTACAGATCCAAAACATTTAAATAAGAATGTTTCCTTAAATAATGCAATTAACCAGTGAAAGGCAATTAAAGTCTTTTGAAAACAGTTAGTTGAAAGTGTCTTGACATAGTTTTTCACTTACGTAATTTTCTCAAAACATTTTATAAGCATTCATTATTTCCAAAACACCTTTCAGGTATGAATGTTTGATTCAGGTGATCAAACACATTGTGGGACCTTGGAATTTCTTAAACTTAATTACTTAGTGTTTAAACCTCAGAATTTAATGTGGAATTAATAATATTTTGATTATATAGCTATCAGTGCCATCAATTCTGTATTACAAATATCTTTTCCCGTCTGGCAGTGTGTTTCATCTCTAGGATAATCTTGCAAACAAGACTTGTACCCGGGGAGTGACTGCATTTTGGGAGATAGAGTCAAAGAGGGAAAACAGGCAGAAAAGATAATTACTCCTGTCAGAGTGACGATACTAAGAGCTAAATACCAATCATCGCCAATATTCCTTTCTCCTATTTTTAGAAAATTTGTGCTTCCATGTAAAAATTAATGTCCATATAATTGGCAAGTGCTCCTAAATAGATCTACAGATTTGAGCTTTCTCAAAGTTACTCAGAGAAATGGGAGGGGCAGTAAATGTCCCAAAGAGATGCTGAACACCATGGAGAAACATGGAGCTACCACAGCCCTGCGGTATCTAATCGGGGCTGAGGACAGCACACTGAACAACTCTTCTTGATGGGGGAAGGATGAGGAAGCCTACAACCACTAATTTCAATCCAGTAACACGGTTTTAGAGCATATGGGCCTTCTTCTACTGCTATTTGGACAATAAAGAGAAAGTTGAATTTCTGGAAACTGTTCAGTAACCCCTTCCTCGATGATAAATCTGGAAACATAGGCGTGAATTTGCGTCTGAATATCTTTTGCACAAGCGTGAGAATATAGGAACAGGTGTTCACAGATCAAGACTTACTCTAGTTGGAAATGGTTGGAGGGAAACAGGCAGCAGTTACTAAGGTTGGGACAGGAATGAGAAATAAAATAGGAGCTCAGCATGATAAGTTTTCTATGATGCAGCTGTGGGAGAGACAATGCTGAGCTTTGTAACCCCCAGACTTCGGGCAGCATTAACGATGAGGCATAGAGATGCACATGGGAGAGAGGGAAGCATGAGGCCAGTGTTCCTCCTCTTTGCTGACAAACCACAGTAGGAGGCAAGATTTGTCAGATAAGCTAAAGCAACAAGAGAAGTGGAGGAACAACCCAGCTGCGCAGGAACTCTCCCTTAGTTATAATAATCTCAGAAAGTTACTAAAAGCATTTTCAAACAATTTTCCTTCTCAAGTATCCATATTCCTCTGAGACTCTAAGACTAGCGCAAGATCTAGGAAGTGAGGATTAACACACATCCAAGTAACAAAACAAAAAACGATGAACATTCTGGTAGAGAATCCAAAGTAGAAGAACAGAGATCACAGCAGATTTTTATCTGCAAGCTAAGCAAAATGGTTTTACAAGAACCTTTTAAAACTTGTTTGAGAGTGAAAATCTGAAAAGTGGAATTCTAATAAAGAAATATTACAATTACAAATGAATTTTATAATGTCAATTGCTACTAATTTATTTTCCATACAATATAATTAATAGGCTTTCTATCTACCGAGACTTTTAAACGGTTATTTTCCTGAAAGTGAAAATTTTCTTATGATGTCAGCTACTCTAATTTTACTTTAGCCCAAAGTCTTACAATTCTTCAACTGTAATTTCACCAACAAAGAAAGATTTGAGGCAATTAATCTTCCTTTTCGGCACCTGGATTAGCTCTGTGTCTGGGATAATTATCATCTTTTCCAGGCCTTCATTTGCTCATCTGTCAAGCAAAGGAATCGATCTTGACGATCACTAACATACTTTCATGCTCAGACATTCAAAATTGTTAATTTCCTATGTCATGGTATTTGGTGCCATAAAGATTTTTAATCACTAGATTGGTGAAAGATTAAACTGTTTTGTATATTTTCAGCATTTTAGTTAATTGATTACTTAATTGTAATGGTTTTCCACACCAAATGGCTACAGTTTTTACTTCACTTGCATGGAACTAAAAATGTTGAAAATGACAGTGATTATATTGCAAACTTCTTTTTTTGAAAGCACAATTCTTCTCCTCCTTTATTTTTTATCCTCCTTTGTCTTCTTCATATTCATCTTAAAAAAAAAAATTTTCCACTTTCCGTATTGATTTATATTCATCGGGGAGCACTATAGAACACTACTGAAAACTGAACTACAGACCAAATCCTGGCTCCACCAGCTCATACACCTGGTAGCTTGGACAAATATTCAAATTACTTGTGCTTAGTTTTCTCATTAGGAAATTAGTGGTGATAAGAAAGAGCTTACTACACAGAGTTGTTTTACATGTATATATATGTGCTATATATATTATGCTATATACATATATACACACATACATAACAGTACATGTGTATATATACATATGTGTGTATATATGTATGATTATATACATATATACACACATGTACTATACATTTTATAAAGTATAGAATCTAATATATTTACAGACAGTTACATAGATATAACAGAAAAGTATTGATGTGTGGTAGTCATTCAAAGACTATTACTACTAATTACATCAAACATTCATGCTAAATCTTTCATATATATGTCTATCAATTTTTGTCAATGTGCACACAATATCACAATCAATAGTTTTAAGCCCAGAAGCTCTTAAATCACATGATATTCTCTTTTCGGGTACAGTTATTTTATTATGAAAATATTAATATTCCTAAACAGATAAATTTCAAACTTGCTTCTGTTAATGGATCTGAATTTACTGCCTGGTCAACAGTGTGCAGAATTAAGTAGAAAAACACAGTAAGGAAGCTAGGAAAAAAAAATCTATATTTAAAATTTAACGTATCAGTTAAGTAACAGAAGTATCCTAAGAAAATAAGAAATGAAATGAAATGATTAAGTCAGATGCTACTTACTAGTGTAGGTGAGCTGGAAACCTTGGTCGGTGTCAGATCCATTGGTGTTGAATTCCAGCCACAGGTGATTCGAAGTGCTGTTTAGGATGATCCCCATTAGTTCGTTTTTCGTGAAGGCCCCCAGTGGGCGTGATGAACTATCTTTTCCATCGTACACCTAAAGAGAATTCACGGCATGAGTCCCCCTATCGCTTCGTTGTGTTTTTATGATAGCAATTTTAACAAGAAATTCAAATCTTTGAAGACGTGATTTTTTACAGTGCTTTAAAAAATTACACAGTTTATAGAAAGCTGAATGGATGATGGTGCTAAACCATCTTTTTCCTTTAAGTGCTATCTTTACCATTAATGGTAAAGATAAAAAAGATTCCATTTGTGTTCAGATCATTTTACATTCATCACTTTGAGAACTCTGAGTGTATTGAAAATTAAATAAACATTTCTTTGCATTTCCAGGTTCCGTTATCTACCTTTTTTCTCTTTCTCATAATCTACTTATAAAAGTTGAAAGGATGTATAATATTTCAGTCACAAACGTCTTCTCTGAACTACCCTATAAGTAATAGGATGACCCATTCTCCTCTATCTGAACGTCTTAGCAGACAAGACAATGTGCTGAAATCTTGTCACATTTTGTAGTCTTTGAGCCTGAGGTGACTTGAGTCCTTTATTAGTTGAAATAAAAGAATCCCATCATGTAATTATATCAGAGAGATGTGTCTTCTTGCTCTAAAATACTTTGCATTTGACTTTGTCTTCCTAGGTGGTTGTAAAGTCTGAGTGGATACAGTAAGTATTTGGAAGGCAAAGTTGACAGAGCTTGGTTTTGAGCAGACGTTAGGATCAGGGGCAAGGGAGAGGGAGGGTTTAGTGATAACATCCCGAGTTTCACTGAGGTAGACCACACCGGGAGCAGGTGGGTGGCAACCACATTCCCTGAGTGGGGACTGTGTCAAACTGCTTTAGGGCATGGGCACTGTGGGATATCCCACAGAATAGTTTTCTGCTCGTGCCAGAATCAACAATATTCACATTCTGGTAGAATTCAGTCTTGAGGCCCCCTTGCACCCGCAGTAGACTGTTGAGAATAGAATGCTTAGTGGGAATGGTTAATCCGTTTGCCTCTTTGAACCATTGCAATGGTTCATAGCAAGGAAGCATTGGTATGGATAAGCAATTTTTGGAAGAGACAATAAAAAGTTTATATTAAAAACATCCATATCTTAATTAAATAAAGGTTATCAAAGTCCTCAGTGGCCTCCTCCAATATCTGCTTATTTCCCCCACTTCTCTTCCTTCTCTCACAGATTAATTCTTACTTTTCTTCTCTCATCTCTCTTCTAATAAATATATAATCCGTATATGCTTCTCGACAGACTTATACACAAATACACATACACCGAAAAGGAGAAAACACATTAAGAAAAAGTAATTTTATGGATCATTATTTTATTTCATTTCAGTTACATAAGCATATGCTTGAGCAGTAGAATCAAATACCATATAACTCCTCACCAGAAGCTAGAAACCGGCTACTGTTGAAAAATCACTGTTTGGCTTAACATGTGAATTCATTAGACATAATGAGGCTTCTGTAACCCAAATTAGAAAGAATTTTAAGTCCAGAGGAATCAAAAGAAAATATGCAGGCCTCCCCAGAAAGGTCTCGGGTCACTTCAAATACCATGTAATTCTCTGTAATTCATAGAAGTCTATGAAGATGAGGGGCATGAAAATAAGAAAGCAGACCGTTAAGTTCACTCCTAAAGTTCCTAAAGTTCATCAACACTCAACTCCACTGGTCCTGGCTTCCTTATAAGGAGTTGACTGAGGACATCACAGAGATGGAGCAGATCCTAGGACAGCCTCTAGTTCACAGCAACCTCATGGCTACAACCACTAAAGATGAACCATGGAAATACTGAATGATAAGCTTCTCCAGAACAGTACTTCTGTCTTATTTATCTTCATCACCAGCAATTAGCACTGTGCCTGAGAGTAAACATCTCCAAGTGAAGAAGTAACGGGCCAATGTGGCGCATTATTTTGTCAGCTCTCTCAAGTTGAAAATCTGGATTCAAGTTTTGTATTTATCACAAATGACAACCCAGATAGTGTTGGAAGTCAGAAGACTTGATTTTCAATTCCAGCTCAATTAGTCACAAGCTATTTTTGTTCAGCATAACAACACCTAGTTACATTTCCTCGTCTATAAGCAGCTAGAATCAACATGACTGAATCTTCCTTTCGGTTATTAGAAAAAGGTTCCTGGAGTCATATGTTAATACAAGGCTGTAACTATTTGCACTACAAACCCTCCTCAGAGCTTGGCATTTAATCAATGCCATATGCTCCAAGTGGAATAGCCAAGTGAGCAGATGATCACAGATTAGAAAACATCACACAGAATCCTGGAGTGACAATGCTGAAAACACTGGGGGAACCTCTCCCCAATTTACAGGAGCCGTCCTGAAGCCCTCTGTTTCCAAAATTAACTTGGATTTCCATTTTATATTCCTTGCATGACATTTTCATTAGAGCTATATTTCTCTTACGTGACTTTCCCATGTGAAGCAAGGAAACATCATGTCTGTGTACGCAGGAGTGAGTGTATATAAAACTTCGGTCTTTATTATTGGATTATACTATGTATGAAGGAGTGATGTGAGTAGCATTTGTGCTCAAAAATTAAGATAATTCCACTTGAAATATTTTTAACACTGAGATATTTATTAGCATATTGAAGAAAATATATGCCTGCAAAAGAGTTAGGCATTTCAGATGATTGACAGCTCTTCTGCAATTAAACTTGGTAAGCGAGATCTGTTTTTGGCTTTTTGTTACAATCAACACATTTAAGCTGCACACAAACAAAAATGAACATAATTTGCTTCCTTCCATTCCAGTACTATTTGCCAGTGTATATTTTATGCAGTATCTCTCATCACTCACCTGTACCAAAAGTTTGCCTTAAAAACACTGACTTCTAAATTTGAGGTTATCAAAGAATTCAGAGAATGGTTACTTATGATGTAACTTTAAATTTTTTTAGATCAGTGAGAAGGTACTAGTTTCCTGCCTGAAAATCACTTCTTAATTACAGTGCTTCAGACTGGCAGCACGAGCTTTCGAAAGACTATTGCAATGAAAGAACAACTAGAATAAAACCACGCTTCTGAATTATGACATTGAAACATAGTCAAGCGTGGATGTAGGAGGAAGGAAGCCCTTGAGTCTGTGAGCATCTCTTGACTTGTGCACATAACATCTAATGAGGTCAAGCGGACCCCTCCAGGGACCCTTTAACCATCATATAAATGGATGACAAACAGGGAGGTTACTAACGTTCCCTTTTGAGCTGGCTCTTTGCATATTCTCTTGATGCTCACACCTAAAGTGAGTGGAATCTACTGAGTTTGAGATGTACCATCGTGCGCGTCCACGTAGACATGATACAATTGAAAACCTCAGAACACTAGAAAGGGAATCAGAAGAGAGATGTGTCCCTCTCTTGCTACAAATCAGCTGTGAGACCTGGACAAACGGCTTATTTCTCATTGGAACAAGAAGGTAGATGGACTGGATGATGCCCTGCATTAATCTGTGTTGCTCAAAGCCTTTCTCTTTCAATGCCTTAAGGCTTTGTCTCCTGCCCACTCCCTGGCCCCTAGACCCTGGAAGGTCCTCAGTTTCCTAAAATAGTTACAGGAGAGGTGAGGACTATATTGGAAGCCTTAGGAATTATGTGGCATTTCCAGTTGGAGCTGGGATTTTATAGCTCAAGGTGAGATCTGGGTGCCCCTGGAATCTGTTTCTCCTGCCTTTTTTTCCTGGAGTCCATCTAGAATGTTGGCAGCGTGCTGGCTCCTGAATCCCACCCAGAGCATTTCCCTGAGGCTCTAAAAAATGTTAGATCCAGGATTACAGACTTAGATATTTCAAAGTCCAGATATACTCCACTAAGTGACACTACATTCCACTTTCTCAAACCAATTGGATAAATTGGAAAAATCTGTGTATCTATAAAGATACATTAATACATGTATATATCTATGTATATAAATGGATAGGTATTATATTTATTTCTTGAGAAGGAAAGATGGAGTCATAATAAAGAAGATTCTTTTTACCTTTAGAATGTCTCCTTCAGACAGATGGAAGCTCCGTGCCCTGAGATGGATCCCTTTGCCAGCTTCTGTTTCTATTTTATAGATACATTCATGGTTATTATCATAATTTGACGGGAAATTTGGAGACAGTAATGTTCCTTCATTTCCTTTGACACTTGCTCCACATTCAGCTAAAATAAATAGGACATTAAAAAAAGAAAGAGGATTCAAAAATGGAATTACTGATTTTAAAAGATAAAACTCTCAAATCATGACAGCCCTCTCTTCTTTCAATGTATGTCTGTAACTAACATATCATTTTTACAGATTATTGACAGTTTTTACTGTTTTACCAACTGGACAGGAAAGATCCTCCCATTCATCCCAGTTTCAAGATTTCTTATTTTTTTTTAATAGAATGCCTCTTACTCCATGGAAGCAGGATGCGATCCCACAGAAAGATCTAGAATAGAATCGATATGTCCCGAGCACTCTGGCTGTATCTCTGGGCAGTGGCATCCCTCGCATGCCTCTTTTCTGCCTCATGAAACATCCCTGCCAATTCCAAGGTGCTGACTCTACTGTTGTGCCAGTGCAATTTTCCTATGCGTGTATTTTGTGGCATCAACCTGGGTGCGTTTAAATGGGAAGCTAATGTTGGACCAAATCACTGAGTGACGGGCTACTACATTACAGCCCTGGGCTCGTCCACTTTATGTCTTGAGATGGAGAGTATTCGGTGGAAGTAAATGTTACCTTCCTTTCCCCTTCTCCTGACAAAAGGAGAGGGTAATTCACTTCCAGATCAAAATTTGCATAAAACAATCTTTAATCAAGGTAAAAAAGTGAAAACAAACACAGCTCTCCACTTTCTGTCAACTCAGAGAAAGTCACTTTGCTTCTCAGCGTCTGCTTCCTCACCTATGAACGTGAACGGCTCAGGTGAAGAACGCCTTCAGCTCTAACGTTCTCTAACTCCACAATGATCATAAAATAATAAAGGTGTTTTGTGTGTGTGTGCGTGTGTATGTGTGACAAGAGAGCTCCATAGGATTCTGCATCAATTGGCCACACTGTGTGCAAAGCACAGTGATTTTTAAAAATTCAACAAAATAAGTCTGAGTTTGAAGAATAATGATCCAGTTGGAAATGGAAAATCAGTTAAATGCATATATATAATAAGAGGTGAGAGGGAGAGATAGAAGGAATTCATAGTGTTTAATTTTAGAGTGGGTTGCTTAAGGTATTATATAACTTTGGCAAATACCTTCTGTGTGCCCATTCTCATAATTTTGATTCTCTCTAACATCTCTGTCTTTCTCCGACAATTGATGAAATCAGCTACAACCACCAGCCATGATTCCCTAGCCTGCTTGCAGAAGGAAATGGCTAGAGATTTCTGATCGGCTCATATTGATGTGTACACTTGGATCTCAATAATGTCCCTATGTAGAAGGGTTGGGGAGAAAAACATATGAGAACTTGGGTTCACCTATCCCTTACCCTCTTTTAAATAAAGACATAAAGGCTGACTCTCTGGGGAATGGGGAGAAAGTGTTGAGAGAGAAGCACAGGGAATTGGTGACTCAACAAAATGACAATGGGAGTTTATGACTTTTTTTAAAACTATAGATATATTTATATAAACTATAGATATAGTTATATTATTATATTTATATATGTTTAAAATTATAATAATCTTTTAAAATTATTTAAAAAAGAGAGAAAATTTATGGAGAAAAAGGCAAGTGATGCCTCTCTTATGCTGGATGCTGATGCATCTCTTATCCCTCCTCAGGCCTTGGTGGTCCTTGAATAGTGTAGCGGTCCTCCCATGTTAGCAACCTCATAATCCTCAGGCAATCTGAGATTGAAGAAATACAGCTTTATATCTTAAATTCAATGAGCATTTTAGGTAAATATTTTCCTTGAGAAATGGTTATAATTCATGGGACTGGTTGCCTATTCTTTGACTCTTTTTCTTTTCTGAAGAAACAGGATGTTTTTAACATAAAAGCCAAAATAAACCGAAAGAACATGAAAATGCCAAAGGAGAGTGTTCCCCCTTGGCTGCTCTGTGGATGGAAGAGTGAGGAGTTCAAACTTGTTAAAGATATTGGACTTCAAGAGAATAAAAAAGTATCAATGAATTCCGATGATAAGAACATGGAACCTAGTCCCAAATAGGAGAAATTTTTATTTAAAATTGAATTTTACAGTGATCTCTAAAGAAAACCGTTCAAAAATTAAGTGTAGGTCCTTTTATCCCTTACTTTACAAGTTTGAAAAAAGGTCTTGCAATTGAAGATGTAAAAAAATACCGATACAGCAGCAAATAGATTATTTTTAGTCTGAGGAAAACTTTGGAAGAAATATTATGCTATGGTATAAGAACCAGGTGTGTGTACTTTGGTTTACCATACATTTGAATATCTCACGTCCACACGCATTGTGTACATTAGGTGTCCGCTGTGAAGCACAGGCAGGCTGGGGTCAAGCCTCCTTAGAGGTGGGCAGGAGATGAAGGGGATAATGAGGGTCCTGGCCCTCCCTCTGGTCACCATCTGGTCATTAGCGGAGGCTGTGGTCTTCTTTCTTGACTGAATGCCGTCAAGAAGATGGAGGGAAAGGGGTAATTAATTGAACACAGTGCTGAGTCCACATATTTTGAACCCAAAGTGTGGGATGAGAGCACTGTCACTAGGAAATTGCCTACAAGTAGTCCCAGTGTGTCTTGGGGAGTGCCTTCCATGAGGAAAGCAGCGCCAGGAGAACCGTCTCGTCATCCTCCATGAGCCCCACACGAGGTCTCCATGAAGGAAGTGCTTCCCCTCCCCGAGGGCAGGGAAACTGTGTCATCTCTGTCTGCCGTCTGCATTTGGGGCCAGCAGCCTCCGTTCTCTTCTTCTCCACATGGTTGGAATTCCTCTCTTTGCTCTTCACACCACTATGCTTCCATTCTTTCCTTCTCCTTGATAGACTTGCCACATAGAGAATCTTCCAGCCTCAGTAAGGAGTATCGTTTCTTAAAGGTAGATTTAATCTATCATGATAAGGCTGGTGCGGAAGCTTTGCTAACGGTATTATGTGTTACATACTTTTATCGGTTCTTTGCATGCATTAACTCGTTTACTCCTCAGGGTAACCTTATCCGATAGGTTAATAAACCCCATTTTACAGACGAGGAAACTGAAGCTTAGAATAGGTTAAAACTCAAGTGCTTTTCCCAAGGTCACACGACTAGTATAGATTATTTATTGATTTAATATAAACTCTCAGTGTTTAGGAACAGAATTGTTCCCCTTTTTATATCCTAGTTGATGAATATGCTTTATAACTCATAACATTATTCATAGTTAATAATGTAACTAACATACCGAGAGTTTTTAGTATGAGAGAGTATCCTTTTAAGGACTTTTATTCAAAATAGGTCACCAATTAACTGGAGATAATATTTGTTTTTACATTAGCATTTAGGACATTAACCATATAATTTATTTCTCATAATAAAACAAAAAAGTAAGACTAGAGAGAAGACTTTAGCATTTGGATGCATAGGAAGAAAAAAATATATCAAACCTAAATCTTTATATATCTTTTTATTAGGATTGGCATCTCGGATTATTTTTTTAAAGCAGATGTACAGTAAGTGGTGCTAAGTGCAAGTCTGCCCTCTATAGAAATAATGAGCGTGGGAAATTAGCAGGCCAGCTGTATGTGGTAACCCTCTGTCGACAGGCCCTGTTGTTGCTTTAACCTGTGGAGAAAAGGGGAGAAGCAATTGGGCACCTCACTCCTACATCCCACTTTATCCTCATCCCTCCAAAATGATCTCTACGGGTAACAGAGCAACTATTTCTCACAACCCGAGATGCAAGTCAAGTTTCTAAGTAAATATGCAATAATAACTCATTTATTCAATACACATCTATAAGTGAACTAAACATACATGGCCAACGCATTTAAATGTGGAAGGACAGGATTTCATTATTCTAGAGTAGTACAGTGCAGCGTTTAAAAGAGTCTTTCATATGAATTTTTCTCCGAGAGTGCGAAATTGCTTGTAGAGTATGCAAACTTGGTATATTAATTAAAAAAAAATCTACTTTAGTACAGTGTTTTATTTAATGTTTCTACTTTCTATGCATTATTACTATTTTATTTATATTTGCATTGCTTTATATTCTTCAAAGACTTTCATGCAGATTATCAGGGAGTTACATTTTTTTCTCTTAGAATCATGGCTTTCACGTCTTGGCTCGATTTTAAGCAGGGATCTGTGTTTGAGTTGACACTATTCCAATGAACGTGTGCAGTTGCTGTCGCTGTTGTTTCCTGAGTTTATGTCAAGATCAACAAGAAAATATGACATTTTAAAGGTTGAACATGATTACTCATTTTATCTTGAGGGCTGTGGTCCATTATTCAACTTGGTAAGTGGCAGGGTTGGCAACATCAAAGATATGGTGAGAAACACGGGCTGGGACCTGGTGCGAGGACACGGGGACAGGTCTCAGGCACAAGACAAAGAGAGTGTTCATGTGGCTCAGTCGATGTGACTGAAGAGGGGACCATCTGAGAGACCTGTAGGAGATCTGGCTGCAAACACAGGCGGAGCCGGTCGCAGGGAATGGGGGGCTTCACTGAACCCTGGTGGGAAGTCCCTAAAAGAGGCTGGAGCACAGAAGTGTCCTGACAAAGGGCTGTTTGGAAGAGATAAAATGCCCTAAAAGAAAAAAATGAATCTTAAAGACTCTAAAGGAAAACAAAAAGCGTGTAGGTGGTGTGAAGATGGATTCGTAAAGCAAATTCTATAATTCCTAGTTTAGAGGAACGTCTAGAAGACCAAAACAAGTAATTCTAGGGCCAAATAAAATGTAGCAACACTTTGCTCAATTGGTTCATCCTTCTTTTGGTCTATTTGTCACTTACATAGGATATATTTTTATAAGTATTACAGCATTAAATAAACATAACAATTCCATGAGGTCAGTATCAATATTAAACTCATTTTACAGATGAGAAAACTGAGGCACAGTAAGGTAATTAACCTGCTCATGCTTGGGTAGGCGGGGGTGGCAGAGCTCTAACGTGAACCCCAGGCAGCCTGGTACGGGAACCTGTGATAACCACACCCTGTTTGTTAACATACAATACTGATAATTAATTGTATTTACAGATATTAAAAAAC